CCCCTGCGTCCTCCCGGGGTCCACATGGCCGGCCACCTGCGCGCCCAGCCCCGTCCCCGGGCCCGCGCCGGTCATCCCAGCGGCTCAGGAGGCTGAGCTCTGAGGATCAGGGCTCAAAGCCAGCCCTGAGGCTGGAAGTGGCGCTGTGGCTCAAGGGGTAGCGCGCCAGCCTTGGGCAGACAAGGCCAGGGACAGCGCCCAGGCCCTGATTTCAAGCCCCAGGACTGGCATAAAAACAAGCCAGCGAGCGAGCCCGCGTACCCCTCTGTCTGGAGCTTATTAGGCTCTGGGAAATCCACAATAAACCGATTTTTGTGCCGTGATAACCCTGTGGTGGTGACTGCAGAGAAGCGAGGTGCGGGACACGGGGAGGGGGCGGGGAGGCCTCCGCAGAGGACTGTCGAGGGAAGAGCCCCCATGGGGAGGGGGCGTTTCATGGCTGAGGAAGCTGCAAGCACAAAGGCTCCGAAGCAGATCAAAGCTGGTGCCGGGGAGAGTGTGCGGCAGAATGGGGGACACGGAGCACATGGTGAGGCCCTGGGCAGGGGCGAGGGGCTGGGGCCGTGCGGACCCTTCCTCAAGCGCCGTGTCCCTCCCCAGGCCAGAATCTCCTTCAACAATGCCAAGTTTCCCATCAACCCACGGGACCTCGACCAAGATGTCCAAGATACTGTCTGAAGTGCTCAAAAACTTGGCCCCCAACAGTAAGTGTGGGCTTGGGGGAGGATGGGCTCTGGGGGTCCAGGCCAGAGACAGAGAGGAGAGACTCACCCCAGGAGGTTCTAAGTCTGCAGCCGGGGCAGGTAGGCCCCGTTCCCTAGATGCGAACTCACTCAGGAGTTTCTTGGCCCACCCTAGGCCGGAAGGCTGAAGCAATAGGAGTGGGTGGTCTCCCAGTTCTGGGGGGCTGGAAGCTGAAGAGCAAGCTGTGGGCAGGCGGGGGCCTCCTGAGGCTCAGGGGGCAGGCTGTGCCGCGCACTCCTGTGTTCCGGCCGCTGGCATCTCTGTGTGCCTCCTCAGGGCCCTGTGGTGTGGCCTGTGTGGGCATCTTGAGTTCAGCCCCCTGGTGATGTCGAGTCAGGGCCCATTCCACAACAACCTCAGCTTTGGCGGCCACATCTGCAATGATCTACGTTCCAGGTTCTATGGTACTGAAGCCTCAGGATTGGGGGGCGGGGGACGGTTCTGACTGTAGCAGGCCATGAAGAAGCGCGCCCCTCCCTGCTCTCCACCAGCCACGGCTGCCCGGCTGCCTGCGGGACCGTGGCGGCTGCCCTGGCCTCTGAGCCCACTGGCTCGCCATGCAAGGCCCCTCTCTAGCCCAGTGACACGCTCACTGCCCGGCGCTCATGGTGGACGGCTCTGGGGCTCTGGGAAGGGCGTCTGCGCAGTGCTATCTGTGTGCTCACCACTCTTTTGCTTTTAAATTTGAACTTAATTTGTTTTTGACATAGAAGTCCGTAGTTCAGAAGGTTCATCTTCAGCCCCCCTGTGAAGACTTAGCCCCACCCTGCCCCTTGGGGACACCTTGGAAGTGGCCAGTGCCCCCGTCCCTCCCCTGCTGGAGATTGACTGTCCACATACATTAAAGAGGGCAGAAGCTGGTGTAGTGGCTCTCACCTATAATCCTAGCTGCCTGCTCAAGAGGCTGAGAGCTAAGGATCATGGAGAGTCCATGAGGTTCTTGTTTCCAATTAACCACCAAAGTTCAGAAATGGGGCTATGGCTCAAGTGGTAGAGCACCAGCCTTGAGCGAAAAAGCTAAACAAGAACGCAGGGATCTGGGTTCAAGCCCCAGTACACACACACACACACACACACACACACACACACACACACACACACGAGCAGAGATTTCCACAGGACAGCTGTAACCCCAGTGCCACCTCCAGCACAGCGGCAGGGCCAGGGCAGGTGGGAGGCGGGTGTGGAGGGTGAGTACAGGAGCGGCAGGGGCAGCAGGGGCAGGAGCGGCAGGGGCAGGAGCGGCAGGGGCAGGAGCGGCAGCGGCAGGAGCGGCAGGGGCAGGAGCGGCAGCGGCAGGAGCGGCAGGGGCAGGAGCAGCAGCGGCAGGAGCGGCAGGAGGCGGGTGTGGAGGGTGAGTACAGGAGCGGCAGGGGCAGGAGCAACAGGGGCAGGGCAGAAGGCAGCAAAGGGAGGCCGGCACCAGGCCGGTGTCTGGCTGGAAAGAGGGCAAAGCAGAGAGAGGCTGCAGGGTGCCAGGGATGAGATGTTTGCTGGGGCGGCCTGGTGCAGGGCCAGGACAGGGAGATGGCGTGGGGAGACCCGCCGTGCCTGTCACGGGGACTTGCTTCCAGAAAGAAGCGAAGGAGTGATCCATGGAGCAGCTGGAAAGCTTGAAAACTGCAAAACGCTGGAAACAAAATCTCACCCCGCCCAGCCGCAGCGCCGGCGCAGGGTGCTCACGCACAGATGCACTGTAAAAAAACAACACTTTTTTTTGCCAGTTCTGGGGCTTGAACTCAGGGCCTGGGCTCTGTCCCTGAGCTGCTTTTGTTCAAGGCTAGCACTCCACCACTTGAGCCAAAATGCCACGTCTGGCTCTTTTTTTTTTCTGAGTAATTTATTAGAGATAAGAGTCTCATGGACTGTCCTGCCCAGGCTGGCTTTGAACCCTGATCCTCAGATCTCAGCCTCCTGAGTAGCTGGGATTACAGAGGTGGGCCACTGTGCCCGGCTGACCACCAAAACTTTAAAACAGGGTAAGACGCATCTAAGGCGAACTCAATCATCGTCCTAGTGGTGTAGATGTGTAGCTCTTATGTGCAGGGAGCATTCTGGTCCACCCAGACCGGACAGCTTCTGCACCTTTGGGCAGCAGGTGTTGGGGAAGAACACAAAGGTGCTGGAGCCCAGTGTCCGCTCGGTGCCACGTGAGTCATTGACTTTCTGTGTCTCCCCAGGGGCCACCGTCCAGGACATCATGAACAATTTTTCAGTCACTGAAGTACCACAGGACAAAGGGACCAAGATGGCCAAAGGTCAGACATGGGGGTGGGAGCCAGGCCCTTCCCTCTGCCCCAGATGCCCCTGGCCTCAGGCTGCACCACCAACAGAAGACGGCCAGTGCATCAGGAACACAGAGTAGGATTTATTTTTTCCTCTGGCTCCCAGGGTCTCACAACTTCATGGACTCATCCAGGTGACCAGGCCGGGAGTCTTTTCTGCTCCACCTGAAAGCCCGGGGCTTTTAACTACAAGGCTGTCTCATAGTTACACAAAGGCTGCTGCCACTCCATCCTGGTCACATCTGTCTCTAGGCAGGGAGAAAGAAACAAAGAAAATGCAAAACTGCCCTCTTGCTAACTCCATCCTTCTGGGAAAGGGTTCTTACCCAAAGCCCCATCCTGAAAATTCTGTCCTCATCCACTAGCCAAAACACAATGGGTGTTAAAACCAGCCTTGAGCTGAAGAGCTCAGGGACAGCTCCCAGGCCCAGAGTTCAGGCCCCACAACCGACAAAAAAAAAAAAAAAAACCCAAAACCAGGCATATTACTGCCACCACTGGGAGGATGGGCAGCCAGCTGCCGAGCGCCGCCCCCCACCTCCATCCCTGCCCAGCCCCCAGGTCTTCACAGAGCACTGACTTCCTACCAGATGGAGCGCTGTGCAACAGAGTGAGCTTCTACTGTGCTGTCCTGTTCTGCCCTGCCCTGGGCTCCCAGGCCAGGCTCCCTACACACACCTGCCCTGTTTCCTCTTTTTAAGCTTATGTGTGTGCACATGCATGCACACGTGCACCAGTATTGAACTCAGAGCCTCACAGCTCTCACTTGGCTATTTTGTTCAAGGTTGGTGCGCTACCACTTGGTTCACAGCTCTACTTCCAGTGTTTTGATGGTTGGTTGGCATTAAGAGTCTCACAGCCTCTCCTACCTCAGCTGGCTTTGAACTTCCATCTTTAGAACTTAGCTTCCTGAGTAGCTAGGATGACAGGCACAAGCTGGCGATTTCTCTTGTGATCTCTACACGAGAGCCTTTACCACGCCACAGTGCGGGAACGCCACCCCTGCTTAAACCACAGAGCTAGAGGGGCTTTGCGTTGACCTGAGGCACAGCCTGGTCCAGGAAGACATTTCTCCTGGGGGGCCGGGAGGGCTGCGGGGCGGAGACAGCCCCGCCTCGTGTGCAGCCGCCCTCTCCCTCCCCAGAGCACGGTGCCAGCGACAACCCTTTCCACTTGTCCGGAGATGCGGATTTCTTCGTGCTCAGAGAAAAGGAGAAGAGAAAGGCCATCTTGGTGAGTGTCTGGTCCCTCTGTGGACCCTCTCTGCTGCTCTGTCTCAGGTCCTCCTCCTCCCAGATCAACCATGGCTGCTCCTTCTGCTCCTTCTCCCCAGATCTATCAATCAGGCCTGTTCCTTCCCCTCTTTCTCCCCAGATCAATCATGGCTGCTCCTTCTGCTCCTTCTCCCCGCCCCCTACTCTCCCTGCCCCTTCCTTGGGCTGCTCTCATTCCAGAACCGCCCCTGGCAGAACCAGGTGGCCAGGGCTGCCTATCATCCTCCACAGCAAAGCCAGGCCACCCCTGTCTCTCCAAAGGCAGGGCTTCTAGCCTGGAGCTAGCCCACAAACAACACAGCTCCACTCCCCCCCATCAGAAGCCCGATGTCAGGCTGGGAAGGTGGCTCAGTGGTAGAGCGCTTGCCTTGCATGCCTGAGGCCCTGGGTTCGATTCCTCAGCACCACATAAGCAGAAAAAAAAAGCCGGAAGTGGCGCTGTGGCTCAAGTGGTAGAGCACTAGCCTTGAGCTGAAGAGCTGAGGGACAGCGCCCAGGCCCAGAGTTCAGGCCCCACAACTGGACCCAAAAACAAAAAAAAAAAAACAAAACAAAAAAAAACCCAGAAGCCCGATGTCCCGCAGATGTCCACAGCCCCCAGGAGGGGGCACCTGTGGTTGCCCTCACCCAGGTCCAGGGAGGACCAGAGACCCCAGGGGGCACCGCAGACCCAGGGGGCCGCCCAGCCTTCCCCATGGCCCTTCCCTGCACCCAGTGCCCTGCCCACCTGGCTGCCTCTCCTTCCCCCCAGAAGTCCAGCGCAGCAGCCTGCCTCACCCGTTTCCGGAGCGGCATCTTGCCGACTCTGTGACTCGAGTCCTCCAGTGCGGCGGGGTTGGGCTGGGTTGGGCTGTTGGCAGCAGCGGGCTTTGCAGCGGGAGGCTGGCTCTGCCCAAATCACAGACGCGGGAAGGCCTGGCAGGGAGGTGCCAGGCAGCCGTGGCCTACAGCCGGCCAACAGCAGCAGCCGAGAACAGAGCAGCCTCGGGCTTTCTGGGTTCTTTGAGAAACCCAGACGGCTCCAGTGCCTGGGCCCGCCATGGTTCAGCACAGCAGAGGGGCCCCCAAGCTAAGCGAGAGCTTGGCTCACTGGGCTGGTCTTTCAGCGAGGGGCTGCTCACCGTGCGTCCCGGGTCTGTGCTGTGCCCCTCCTGGTCTCCCGGGGCTCTTGGCTCAACCAGGGGCAGCTGTGCTCTCGGGTGGGGTTAGGAAGTGGGGGGTGTGGCATGTGCCCTTGCTGCCCCCATGCAGCAGATGCAGGGTAGCACGGGCCCCTCTGTCATCCGCAGGAGCGGGAGCAGAAGAAGAATCTGCGGGTGCACCAGAAGATGACCTACTCTTCCAAGTTGCTGGCCCGGCACGGCAGCCTCCGCCGAGAGCTGCAGATGGAGGAGGACACCGACGACCAGGAGCTGATCTCCGAGGCGGAGCGGCTGCGCTCCATCAAGGACAACACAGCCTGGAAGCTCGCCATGACCCAAGGTGCCGGCGCGTGGCCCAAGGGTCCGGAAGCCCCGCGAGTTCGGCGGAGGCTGGCGCCCTTTGGGGCCCGACCCCCGTATACCTGGCGGATCTGGGCACCGAGGGCTGCAGACTAACTGCTCAGTTCACGTGGTTGGCACCCTGAGTGGGAGGCGGCAGGTAGCAAAGAGGCAGCCCAGGGCTGGTGGGGCGGCGCCGGCAGAGCACTGCTGGCAGCAGGGGCCATCCCAGCACTGCAAAAAAAAAAAAAAAAAAAGTCAAGATGTGAAGGCGGGATAGCTCTGGAACAGATCCTGCGGCTCCCCAGGGTCCTGGTGGAGGGGAGCAGGCCAGGGGCCACAGGGCATAGGGCAAGAGAGGGGGGTTCAGACACACAGCCTGCGCCCTCGCGTCCCCCCCCATCCCCAGGGGGAGTTCTAGCACCTGGGGTTCCGCACTTTGCAATGTGGGCGTGGCAATGCGTGGCCTCCGCGGCCCTGCGGGTGTCGCAAGCGCTGTTCTCAGGAGCGGCCTGGAACTGCGCCTTCACCGCCTCACCACTCTCCTTGCAGAAAAGAAAGTGGAGCCCGACAGGATGAACAGCTACATCCAACAGAAGCGAGAGATGTTCCTCATCCAGGTAGGCTGCCCTCCTCTCTCTCCCCCACCCCCCAGCCCCGGCCTGGGGGCCTCCCACCAGGCGCCTGGCCCGGCCAGCGGCAGAGACCTGCTCTGTGCTGGCCTCAGTACAACCTAGAAATGAAGCGGAATGAGATGCAGCGGCTGGAGATGCTGGCCGCGCGGGAGGAAGGCAGGCTGAAGAAGGCCGAGAAGTCTCTGGAGAAGGACGCCTCCTTGTTTGATGAGTTCCTCAAGGAGAATGATCGCAGCTCCGTGCAGGCCATGCGCGTGTGAGCCTGCACCCTGCCCCATGCTACCCCGTCCCCCTGGGCCTGTGGGCCTGAGCCTCTCAGCATTCCCCACTGTCACTGTGTCCGTGGGCCTGGGACACCTTCCCGCCTGCCCTGCCACCCGCACCCAGCCCAACCCAGCCGCGGCTGGACGTGAGGCTCCAGCCCTGCTCGGAGCCTGGCCTCCCACTCAGGGTAAGGCCAGTGTGTGGAGGCTGCCTGAGATCATCCTCCTGACTCCCACCCCTCCCCAGAGCTGAGAAGGAGACCAAAGCGAAGATGGAGAAGATCGTGGAGATCCGGGACATCACCACTCAGATCATGAATATCAAGAGGTGCGGGCAGAGGACCGGCTGTGGCTGGGCTGTCTTCCTCACCCATAACCGGGCTTAGCACATAAACCTCCCAGGGACCCCAAACCTCCAGGGCTCGGGGGAGAAACTTTACACAGGGAGCTGGAGGAGACTCAGGCTACCATGGGCTGCAGGGACTGCGTAGCGTGGCCCAGGAGACTCCAGGCATCTCCCATAGCAGCGCAGCCCACAGGGCCAGAGGGCAGTGCCCCGGGCACCGACGCCTAGCCTGCAAGGCAGATGCCCTTCCCGGCCCCCACGCTGGCTCTCCAGGGGATGGGGCGGGCCATCTGGAGGTCGCAGTGGATGGGCCTTGACCTCCTGCCCCCTCCCTGGGCCCAGCGAAATCTCCAAATTCGAAGACTCACTACAGCGCTGCAAGTTGTATAAGGACTTCCTGTACAAGATGTCGCCTGAGGAGTGGCTAGAGGCGCAGAGCAGGAAGCAGCTGGCTTTCAAAAGGGCCAAGGAGATGGCTGCAGCCCCCAAACCCAGCACATCCACAGTGGAGGACAAAGGTAGTGAACGCCAGGCCGTCCCCAGAGTGGGCTCTGCTAGTGGCAGAGAGCGACCCTGGCCCAGGGCAGGGCCCTTCCGACACGCAGCCTCCCCGCTTCCCCCAAGGCTGCCCAGAGATCAGCTTCCAGTTCAAGCCAAGGGCTTGCCTTCCAAGGACCAACCTCCCTCCCTCCCTTCCTCTCTCCCTCCCTCCCTTCCTCTCTTTCTCCTTCCTTTCCCCCTTCCCTCCTTCCCCCTTCCTTCCCTCCTTCCCCCTTCCTTTCCTCCCTTCCCTCCTTCCCCCTTCCTCCCTCCTTCCCCCTTCCTTTCCTCCCTTCCCTCCTTCCCCCTTCCTTTCCTCCCTTCCCTCCTTCCCCCCTTCCTTCCTCCCTCCTTCCTTCCCACTCTTCCTTCCTCTCTCCATCCCTCCCACCCTCTCCTTCCTTTCCTCCCTCCTTCCTTTCCTCCCTCCTTCCTTTCCTCCCTCCTTCCTTTCCTCCCTTCCCTCCTTCCTTCCTCCCTCCTTCCCACTCTTCCTCCCTCCATCCCTCCCTCCCTCTCTCCTTCCTTTCCTCCCTTCCCTCCTTCCCCCACTCCCTTCCTCCCTCCCTCCCTCTTTCTTTCCCTCCCTTCCTCCTGGCCTTCCTCTTTCTTCCTCTCTCTCTTCCTCCCTCCCTTCCCCTGAGGTGGGGCCGTCAGATGAGGCCAGGAACCCAGGCTGCCCTGCTCCGTCCTTCATTTCCTCTAGGGTTAGGACCAGGAATCAAGAGCAAGGCTGCTTCCCAATGGTCCAAAGGTAGGTGGCTGGCCAGCGCCGGACCCGCCCCCCCGCAGGGCCCGCGCCGACCCCTGACCCCTGACCCCTGCCGCCGCTTCGTTAGAGCCCGGGAAGAAGTCGGTCAAGCTTGCGGGGTCGGAGCCAGCGGTGCGCAGCAGCAGCCACCTGCAGCAGAGCAGCCACCCCAGCGACCTCGCCGTCATGCAAGTGTGAGCCGCGGGGCCAGCCCGGGCAGCGGGGCCGGGAGGGGCCGGAGGGACGGCGGC